GTTGTCTGTTTCCTGCAGTTCTGTAGGTTTTCCTGGGCGTATTCCCTATTGGTTTTCAAACCCAGGTGTTTGGGGGTTTCATCTCTCCTGTGCAGGACCTAGAGGTTGGGGTGCCTGATATGGGGCTTGAATCCCTCACTATTCAGGAGAAAGATCTCCTGATTGTGGATTGCCCCTGGGGTGTGGATTTTTCCCCTTGGTGAGCTCGTATCTCTACCTCTCCCACCCGTCTTGATGCTCACCTTTTCCCCTTTGTTGTGGGGGCTCTGTTCATCTAGCTTTTAGGGCCCTTTCTGAGGGAATTACTTCATATTTAGTTGCAGATTTGTTGTGTCCATGGTAAGAGGTGAGTTTAGGATCTTCTTGTACCACCATCTTGAACCCACTCCCCTGAGTGACCTTTGTAAAGCACACATCAGATCACTTATTATCATTTTCAGAGTCTTCCCAGTGCATTGTAATAAAACATTAATTATAGAAGCCCAGCTGCTCATGGTGGTAAATAGGGCCATACATAGTTTGCCCTTGTCTGTCTCTCTGGCATCATCTCCCACAGTCTCCTCACTGCTTACCTACTGTCTTTTTTTTAATGCTCTCTTGCATGCTCCAGGCTTACTCTGTCTCACAGCTTTCCCATTTACTCTTCCCTCTAGGAGGCATGTAATTCCCAGTGGTCATCACACGGCTTTAGCTAGAGTGGCCAGCAGACAGCCATGACCCAGTTTCCTTTTCTTCTGAGCAGTTATTATTGTGCATAATCACCTTGATTATTTGTTTACATTTAAAATCTTTTCCCCTTCCTGAGACTCTTTAGTAGGATTCTTGGTATAGGCAACACGGTCAGCATTTTTCATGGCTGTATTCCTAGTCCTTAGAATAGTGTCTGGCACCTATCAGATGATGAGATTAATGATGAATACTATAGAATGAATTGCAGATCAGAGGGATTGGAAGTGGGGTGCTGAGTTAGGGGTCTGGTGCAGTAATAAAGGGATGTGATGTATATTTAAACCAGGACCATGGCGGCAGGACCAGGAGGCTCGTGAACAGATGTGACTCAACTGCAACCCAAAACATGCATATGCAGTATTTGGAGACACACAAACACAGCACACATTTCCGCAGATGACTATATGCGGTACATGGAATAGCAAGGACGAATGGCGTGGTAAACCAACTGCAGAATGTTTTCTCGTTCCTGCCCTGTGCAATCTATTTCAGTTTTTTATTCTCATACCAAACCACTCAATGTTTCTTGGTTTAAGAAAGTTGTTTGTATATGTAAAGAATCCAAGGAGCATGTGTTAAGCCCACAGATGTATATGTATCCCAATTACTAAAATTTATATGCCAACTTCAGTTTCCTTTTTTGCATCCAAGTGATAAATTTAAGCCCCCGATTGGCATATCTCGATGTGTGAACTGTCTATAGTAGGGTCACTTGGAGGGCAGGATCAGCAAAAATAATCTTCGTTGAAAGTCTGTATGTTTTGACTCCACCTGTGGCCCCTTGAAATCTGTATGAGAGATACAAGGCAATGTTTTGTAGAATTTTTAAAAAATTTAACAATTATGTGTGGATCAAATATTTGATACCTAAACAGATCCTGATCACAGGGAAGGTTAGATTAGAAGAGTTTCAGAGTCAGAAAGCTGATACAGAAGTTAAGGGTATTTTCAGAGCATTTGGAAGTCAGGCTCAAACACTCACCTTTCTGGTCCAACAAATACTCCTCAGAAACCTTGCCGGATTTTCAGAGAAGAACAGCTCCTTTTCCTGTGCTGAGAGATAGCCTCAGGTAAAAACCAACCAAACAATCAACCAACCCAACCAACCAAACAAACAAACTCACTCCTGCTTATTACCCACGTGAAGACCCCCCCGCCACACACACACATAGTACATGAAGCTCTGTGTTTATCAGATAATTGGTGTTTGAGGAAATGAGTCTTCTCATTGTCACAGGAGTCTTTGTTTATTAAAGGGTTCTTTATATTTAGAGCTGCTTCAATAGGTTTAAATATTTGTTAGCAGGTCATTAGCCGCTTTTCAGGAGTAGAACTCATGCCCATTTTCCAGATTGACTTAGACATTCTATAAAGAAGTAGTGAGTGCAGGGTGGGTTTTATTATTCCATGTACAAATGAGGTAGCAGAGGCTTGGAGAAGTGAAGCATTGTTAGCTCTCACAGCTGGTAAAGGCCAGGTGTCCTGTGCACATGACCCAGGTCTCGGGAATGCCAGTCCAGTACTTTCCAAAGTGGGTAAGAGACTGCACTGTGGTTCTGTGGAGAGGTCCTGAGACCCAGGGCAAGTCCTCCAACCTCTCTCCACCCCAGTTCCTTATCTATAAAATAGAGTTTGAACTTGGTTATTGAAATATTCTTTTATCTGCAGAAGTCTGGAATTTAATAATAAGGTAGAGAAACTTGTAGATAAACTACTATGATCTTTTTCCTAAGGGAAATGTTAGTTAGAAATAAGGATTAAAAAGAACCCACTCAAAATCATTAGGTAAGTTTGAGGGAAATAACCTTGGTTAGAACAAGTTGATTTGTGACTAGTCTTTGAGGAATCACCAGCAGTCTGTTTGTATGGAGGCCACAGAGACAGAGTTGAGTCTGCACTCAGACATTTACAGAAGCGTTCTCTGGGAGAGCCACTCACAGCTGAAGGACCAGAGGAGAGCGTTGTCACACCTTTGCTCCACCGTAGCCAAGTGTTTGGCTTGTGCTCTTTTCTGTGCTTTGTGGCTTATTCAAGGCCGTCCCTGTCTGACCCCACCTGCAGGTGCAGCGGGAGGAGTAGCCATATGTTTTTATTATCCTGCCTTCACTCTCAGCTACACGCTTTGGAAAGGCTGTATAGTGGATAAATCACACTTGATTCCAATCTCAGGCTTGAGACATGTGATCTTGGGCTGCTTGCTAATTTTCTTCTAAATCTCAGTTTCATCATTGTTACCATCATAGCCAACATAATTTATTACCTGTTATAGTAGGCATTGTTTTGAGCCCATTATCTGCATTAGCTGATTGGGGATTTATAACAACCTGCAAAGGAGAATGATTATAGTCCCTATTTTCTACATGAGGATTATGAGATGCAGAGAGGTTGTCATTGGGAAGCCATGCAGCTAGTTAAGAGGTAAATTTAAATTTCAGTCTCAGGAAGAATCCATATTCTTAATTTCCTCTCTACACTGCCTTGCACTATGAGCTGGGTTTATCAGTCAAGATAAGCTATGCAGCAGTAACAAAAATCCCCAGATTTTAGTGATTTGAAACAAGAGAGGTTTATTTCTTGCTTCATTGTTGGCTGGGTGCTCTGTCAACCACATCCTCATTCCAAGATGAGGCTGACAAGGAAGCCACCTTTTGGAAGGTTAGCATATATTACAGCACAGAAAAAGAGAGCACCACCCTTGGCACTATTAACGTGGTTCTTACTGTTGAATTATTCTTTGTTGTGGGGGGCTGTCCTAGGTACTAGGATGTTTAGCAGCATCCCTGGCCTCAACCCACTGGGTGCTAGTAGAACCCTACTCCCAGTGGTGACAGCTCCAAATTGCCAAATGTCCCCTGAATGCAGCACTATCCCTGGTTGAGAACCACTGCCTTAGTCTAAGATCTCACTAACAATGAAACCCTCCTGGCAGTGACACAAGTCTCAACTCATCAGCCAGAACTAGTCACATGAACCCAACTCACCATAAAGAAGCCAGGAAGTGAATCCGACAAAGGGAAACACAAGGCAAAACAGAAATGTCTGGGAAACAACACTAATGATGACCACAGATGGGGACAATAAAAATATGCAGATTAAATGAAACAATGAAACTTCAGCATTCGAGTCAGTGTGGGCATCTAAGACAATTTAGAGCAGGAATAGGCAAACTATGTGCAAATCCAGCTATCCATCTGTTGTTGTAAATAAAGTTTTATTGGAACATGGCCACACCTGTTTGCTTGCATATTGTCTATAGCTGCTTTCACACTACACCAGTGGAGTTGAGTCGTTGCAACAGAGACTAAAATATTTACTATTTGACCCTTTACAGAAGAAGCTTGCCAACTCCTGGTTTGTAGAAACAAGATTTTTTTGGGGAGGGGAAGCAGGACTTTGGGGTGAACAGCAAAAAGGGAAAAAGATGCATAGCTCTGTGTCCATCTTAGTTTCTAAATTGTCAGTATGCACTAAGCATTATGCATTGTGCCTCTGTGATCTCCAGCTCGGGCTTGTAACAAGATTCACAAAGGTCTGCATTACTCTCTCTATTTGTATGATCCACATCTAGCAATTACACTTGTAAATTAAAAAAAAAACCACTTTGTATTGATCTTTCTCATACATAGAGAAAAGTCCACGTATCATAAGTCTACCACCCAGTGCGCTTTCACAAGCTGAACTCACCCCAGGTGCCCTCCTGCTCCCTTCCAGACCTACTTACCACTCCAGGGCACCCTGTCTTCTAAGAGCAACAATAGCCAACTTAAAAAATTTTTTCTATTATGGACAGTTTGCAAACATGTACAGCAGTAGAGGGAATAGTGAAATGAACCCCACTGTATCTTTCACCAGCTTCAAAAATTATCAGTATTTTGTCATTCATGTTTTATATACTCTCTCTCTCCCCTCTCTTCACATGAGTAGGTGGGTAGGCAGGTACATAGGTAGATAGATGGGGAGAGATCAAATATACATCTGCCTATGTGCTATATGGTAATATAGGATTATCAGTATATTAATCTATATAATATAAATTGGACACCCACTTGTATAAGCTTTAACTTATGCTTTCTCATTTGTAGGGATAAAAATAGGACCTACGTATTTCTTCCTAGAGTTGTTGAGGATTAAGTGAACTGATATCTGTAAAGCTCTTAGAAAAGCAAGAACTAAGTATTCAATAAATAGTAACTGTCTTCACCATCATCAGCGTCATCGGGGTACAGGGAATAATTAGCCAAGTCCTCACTGCCCTCCCTTCCTTTCTCCAGGTCTATGCCGTGGTGGTAATTGCATCTGTAGTCGGATTTTGTCTGCTGGTAATGCTGTTTCTGCTGAAGTTGGCAAGACATTCCAAGTTTGGTATGAAAGGTAAGAAGGGTTGTGTTTATTTTACTTCTTACGTGGAATCATTTTTGGCTTGTGACTAATGCTAATTACCACCAAAGAATGAAGCGGCTAGATTGATGGTGACTAGGGTTTAAGGCTGAAAAAAAACAGCCACAAGGACATGATACCACAAATCAAGATGGAGCGAAGTCATATTGATTGCTCAGCACTACCCACTCTCCAGGGAGGACGGTGGTCCCAGAGGCCGCAGAACTGGTTTCCTGAGTTTCAAGTGACTAATAAGGATAGAAGTAAATAGCGCCTGAGTTTTACTTTGCCTCAGAAAGGCAGGCAAGGCTGAGTGGCAGCAGGCTAGTTCTGGACACATGTACTTCGGGCAGAAGGGTCCTTTCTGCCGCACGCTTGATTTCCAGCATTTCTGTGGTACGCCTTTTGTGTTGCTACTGCTTTTTCAGATTCTCATCTTTTGGAATTTAAAGTGTTGGGAAGCAGATTAAGAACAGCCATTGGAGGGTCATTGAAGCTTTGCGAACGAGTGGCTTTTCATTTTAGTGGAAAGGTTCCAAGTGCTCGATGAAAAATTAGTGTATGTTGTCCCCAAATAGACCGTTGGTTTCTTTTAGAGGACTGAAAATTCATTTGGGTGGGGAGAAACTTATTTCAATGTTCTTGTGATGTTAAGTAGCCAAGAGTTTCAGTAATTGAGCAAC